GGTTGCTGTTCAACCGTTTCAAGAGATAGCATATGATCAAGAGCCTATGATACTAAAGGAGGAAGTCCAAGTTGCACTGAAGGATTTGGCAATGAACAAGTCACCAGGAATTGATGGAATAAAAATTGAAATATTTTAAGAAAGTGAGGCAGCACAGGAGGCACTCAATCATCTAGACCAAGAAATTTGGAAGACAACTATCTGGCTGACTGAGTGGAAAAGATCCGTATTTGTGCCCATTTCAAAGATAGGTAACCCAACTGAATGCAGAAATCATCGGACAATATCTTTGATATTCTATGCGAGGAAAGTGTTACTAAAGGTAATACAGAAACTGCTACAATCATACATTGACAGAGAACTTTCAGAGGTTCAAGCTAGATTCAGAAGAGGCCGTGGAACGAGGGATATCATTGCTGATGTCTGATAGATCTTGGCTGAAAGCAGAGAATATCAGAAAGATGTTTACCTGTGCTTTATTGACCACACAAAAGCTTTTGGTTGTGTGGATCATGACAAGCTATGGACAACACTGCGGAGTATTACGTTACACTTAATTGTGCTCATGAAGAATCTGTACATGGACCAAGAGGCAGTTGTTCGAACAGAACACGGGAAACACTGAAAGGTTTAAAATTAAGAAACGTGTAGGACAGGGTTGTATTCTTTCACCATACTTATTCAACCTATATGTTGAGCAAATAATCCAAGAAGTTGGGTTCTATGAAGAAAACTTGGCATCAAGATTGGAGGAAGACTCATTAACAACCTGTGATATACAGATGATACAACCTTGCATGCTGAAAGTGAAGAAGACTTAAAAAATATTTACTGATGAAGATCAAAGAGCACAGCCTTTGGTGTGGATTGCGTATCAACGTAAAGAAAACCAAAAGTCCTCACCACTGAACCAATAAACAACATTCTTATCAATGGAGAAAAGATTGAAGTTGTCAAGGACTTCATTCTTCTTGGATCAACTATCAACACTCATGGAAGCAGCAGTCAAGAAATCAAACGAAGTATTGCATTATGCAAATCTGCTGCACAAGACCTTTTTAAAGTGTTGAAGAGCAATGATATCAGCTTGAAGACTATGGTACACCTAACCCAAGCCATGGTATTTTCAATAGCCTCATGTGCATGTGAAAGCTGGAGACTGATACGGAAGGCCATGGAAGAATGGAGGCTTTTGTGTTGGAGGAGAATATTGTGTTGGAGAATATTGCAAGTGCCATGGGCTGCCAAAAAACCAACAGATTTGTGTTGGAAGAAGTGCAGCCAGAATGCTCCTTGGAGGCCAGGATGGCCAAACTTCATCTCTCATGCTTCGGACATATTGTCAGGAGGGAGACCAGTCTCTGGAGTAGGTTATCATGTTTGGTAAGGTGGAGGGTCAGAGAAAAAGAGGAAGACCCCTAGCGAGATGGATTGGCAAAGTGGCAGCATCAATGGCTCAAGCATGGCAACAATAGTGAGGTTGGCCCAGGATCGAGCAGTGTTTCGTTCTGCTGTGCATAAGGTCGCTATGAGTCATTACCAACTCGATGGTACCTAACAACATGTCAATAAATCTTGTACCTTTCTTTTATACACACACACACACACACACACAAACTCAAATAAAAGTAAATCAATCCGAGGCATTTAAAAAAAAAATTCCATTTTCCTGAAAGGGACCGTATTAGAAGGTCCTGTATAGAGTGGGAGATAATGTGAAACTAAAACTCAGAATCATAAAAAAGATTCAGGTCTGGAACTGAGCTCACCTCTGTGGCACAAATTTCAGTGAAGCAATAGGGGTAAACAACAACACTAGGGAGGCATACACACCATCGAATGGTGAACCACTCACGATCAAAAGGGCAGCATTTACCTAAGGACAAAATTCATAAGGGCTGGGGAAGAAGGAGGAATGAAAATGAAAAGCATTGGCAAGAAGTGTGTGACGTAAGATTAAGGGGTGATGTTACATTAAGAGAATTGTAATCATTGAGATGGATGAAATGTATGATATGTTGAATGTAAACCTCATGATCTGCTCTGTAAACAAACCTTCACTCAATTTACAGTAAAAGTTAAAAACAAAAAACCCGCCATAGTTTACTTCATTGTTAAACTCTCCAAGATTCCAATAGCAGCTGATGTTATAAGAGGGGCTTGTCTTTCTCTTTATATCAGGAAAAGAAGAGAACACTATTTTAGGAGAGTTTCTTGAAAATAAAGGAATACAAAATCATTTCACTCTAATTCTAAAACTTTGAAAAATACACCCTTCTCATAAAAAGTCACAAAGGGAAAAACAGCATTGTATCTCCATACAAAGTCTGTAGATATATGCTGTCACTCAATCTTAAATATATCAAGAGAAAATAAAAAGAGTGTTGTTGTTGTTAATTGTGGTCAAGTCGATTCTGACCCATAGTGACCCTGTATAGAGTTTCCAAGGAGCTGCGGGTGAGTTTGAACCACCGACCTTGCAGTTTAAACAACTTTGCAGTCTGACGCATTAGCCCATAGTGCCACACCAGGACTCCAAAAAGAGTGTAGGAGATACATAAAGAAACTTGACTTTCTGGTTCGTCCTGGGTGGTGTACTACGTGCTGGGCTTGCCTGTTAAAGGCTGATGGTCAACTACAAATTCAGAGGCTGGTGATGCAGCAATCAGGACTGTCCATGACGACTGGTGTTGACTTGCTCGGGGTGGGGTTGGGGTAGTCAGCTAGTCCTGCCTCTCTGAATGGACTCAGCCAGGATGATCTGGTCTAGTTTTAATGGAGACATCACAGTGAAAGAGATAACGTGGTACCTGTCTTTTTTCTAGATAGCCCATAGCTTCATCCATCATCACAGGCACTGAAAGAGAAAAAAACAACTTTAAAATCACTTTTGAAAAATGAACCACCAAGCCCTAGCACACTCAGTTTATGCATAGAAAAATTCTGAATAATCTGTCCTCTCTGGGATTTGCCCCAATGGCCATTCCCATTTGAAATGTCTTCCTCTGTCTTCTGTTTACATCTTGCTTGTTACTTTTCCAGAACATATTCAGTCCTATTTCTTCATGCTTATGTTCATTACAGTTAATATTCATTTATTTCTCTTCTGAACTACAACAATCACCAACTAATGTAACTCATCACAGCCCACATCTATTAATGTTCTGGCAAAGACAGTAACTTACAATTTCTTTTCTCCTCAAAGTATTCCTTATAAAAAATTCAAATAGTGCTTACACCGTTTTTCTTCATTATATGAAGGTATGACAATAGAAAGTTGTTTGGTAGGTGAGTCCCGTATATTGGGTAAAGATTCCTTCTGGCCGCTGGCATTTAAGAAGAACTTCTCATCTTCATGTTGATGAAACTGTGTCATTTTCATAGCAGTTATAAATGCAACAAAGGAAATCTAAAAGCAGACATGTACAAAAGAAATCATGTTATGTGGATCTTTTAAACAGGTTTTGTTAGAATATACCATTTATGTGATTTTTTTTTGAGTGGTACAATACTCACTCTCTGGAGTCTCTGGATGATTATCGAGTTTTCTGCTAACTAATTTGCTTCCACCCAAAGGCAACTTGAAAGAAAGGTCTGGCAATCAACTTTTGAAAAAAATCAGCCACTGTCAACACTATGGTGCTCAGGTTCTACTCTGACACACAGGGAATCAACTCAACAGCTACTAGGGTTTGGTATTCACTTTGTTTTTAGTTCCTTAAAAATGGTCTAACAGTGACTCTAAAATTAGAAGAGTTAAATACCCAACTTATGAACTGATGACTGTCCTTTTTACCTAGTCATTTACTGTGACACTAATGCCTAAGAGGGTCTTTGTCTCTTCACACTTGTCATTCCCCAAGAAGCCTCTCAGTTCTCTTGACTTCCAGATCTAGTAGAGAACAGCAATTATGGAAATCCAGTCCACTCTCAGGTGTCCTGCAAACTTGATCCCCAGCATGCACACACAGTGAGGTCCCATCCTGGCAGTACTATGGTGGTGGTGATGAGCCGTGGAGTTGGTTATGACTCATAGTGACCCTGTACAGGATCTCCGAGGATGTAAATCTTTAAGGGAGCAGAAAGACTCATCTTTCTCCCACGGAACAGCTGGTAGTTTCAACCTGCTGAGTGTGAGATTAGCAGCCCGATTTGTAACCATTACACTACCAGAGCTCCTTACAGGCTGCTAATCTGAATGTAAAGGGTGGCATCTCTCCATTTATTAAATAGAATTCAAGCTCATTCCAAATCATGTAGGGTAAATTCACTTGGCAATTTTTCTATTACTTACAGATCAGGAAATGTTTAAAATGTTTTTTGTATCAATATACAAAAATCAATTGGATTTCTCTATGCTAATAAAGACAGCTCTCAAAAGGAAATTAGGAATACAATACCATTTATAAAAGCCACCCAAAAGATGAAATGTTGTTGTTGATAAGTGCCATTGAGTCGGTTCCGACTAATAGTGACCCTTTATAAGGTTTTCAAGGAACGGCTGATGGGTTTGAACTGCCAACCTTGTAATTCAAACTAACCTTGCAATCCATTACTTATCCTACAGTGTCACACCAGGACTCCAAAAGATGAAATACTTAGAAATAAATAAATCTAAGTTGAGAAACAAAAGGCCTACACAAAGAAAACTATAAAACACTACTAAAAGAAACTAAAAGAGATTTACAAAAATGGACGAATATACCAGGCTCATGGACAGAAACACCTAGCACTGTGAAAATGTCAATACTACCCAACACAATCTATAGATGTGGCAAAATCTCAATTCAGATTCCAACATCATTCTTTTGTTATTGTTGTGAGGTGCCATCAAGTTGGGATCGACTCATAGAGACCCTGTGCACAGCAGAATGAAACACTATTTAGTCCTGGGCCAACCTCACAATTGTCACGTTTGACCCCACTGATGCTGTCATTTTGCCAATCCATCTTGCTGGAGGGGGGGGGGTCTTCCTCTTTTTCTCTGACTTTCCACCTCACCAAACATGATATCCTTCTCCAGCGACTCTTTAGAGATGGAAAAATTTATAATGAACTTCGTATGGAAAGAAAAGAGACTTAAGATAAACCAAGCACTGCTTAAGAAGAACAAAGTTGGAGACCTCTCACTTCCGGATCTCAAAATTTACTACATAGTCACATTGGTTAAAAAAAAGCCTGGTACTGGTACAACGAACGATATAATAGATCAATGGAACAGAATCGAGAACCCATCCACATACAGTCAACTGATCTCTGACAAAAGGCCAAAACACATTTAATGGGAAAGTGATAGTCTCTTCAACAAATGATGCTGGCAAAAGTGGAAATCAATTTGCAGAAAAATGAAACAAGACCCATATTTGACTATCTCACAGCATATACAAATAGCAAACTAAACATGGATTAAAGATCTAAATGTAAAACCTAGAAATATAAAGATCATCAATGAAAAAATAGGGTCAAATTTAAGAGTCCCAATATATAGCATATAACCACCACCACTGTATGGTGGTGGTGGTGGTTATGTGTCATGGAGTCAGAACCAACTCATAGCAACCCTGTACAGGGTTCCCGAGGTTGTAAAATCTTTACAAGAGCAGAAAGCCTCATCTTTCTCTCGCGGAACAGCTGGCAGTTTCAAACTGCTGACCTTGCGGTTCGCAGCCCAATTCGTAACCACTACGCTACCAGAGCTCCTATACACACACACACACACACACACACATATATATGGTGTTGTTGAGTGCTGTCGAATCGGTTCTGATCCATAGCGACCCTGTATAGGGTTTCCAAGGAGCAGCTAGTGAACTTGAACCACTGACCTTGCAGTTTAAATGGCTCTGCAGTCTGGCACATTAACCCACAGCGCCACACCAGGATTAGAACCCCTAAATTTGACCCTATTTTTTCATTGATGATCTTTATAGTTCTAGGTTTCACATTTTGAACTTTAATCCACATTGAGTCTACATTTTGTATATGGTGTGAGATAGTCAAATATGGGTCTTGTTTCATGGAGTCCTGGTGTGACATTGTGGGCTAATGTATCAGACTGCAAAGTCATTTGAACTGTAAGGTCTGCGGTTCAAGCTCACCAGCTGCTACTTGGAAACCCTATACAGGGTTGCTATGGGTTGGAATCGACTCAACGGCACTTAACAACAACAACAACAACAATATATAGCATAAGGAGCTCTGGTAGCATAGTGGTTACGAGTAAGGTTGCAAATCTCACGTTCAGCAGTTCAAAACTACCAGCTGTTCCTCAGGAGAAAGATGAGGCTTTCTGCCCCAGTAAAGATTTATAGCCTCGGAAACCCTATCTATATCATGTCGCTATAAGTCGGAACCAACTCCATAGCACACAACCACCACCACCAATACATAGCATACATATACTATCAAACATTACAAAATAACAGTAGAAGACAAAATAGGAGACTAGACCTCCTAAAAACTAGACATTTATGTACATCAAGGATTTCGTCAAGATAGTAAAAAGAAGTCCACAGACTGGGAAAAGTTTTTGCAACAACATACCAGACAAAGGACTAGTATCTAAAATTCATAGAAAATTACAACACCTTTATAAGAGAAAAGACAAACAATCCAATAAAAAATGGACACAGGGCATGAAAAAACACTTCACCAAGGAAGACATGCAGGCAACCAACAAACATATGAAGAAATGTTCAGTCATTAAACTGCTGTTGTTGTTAAGTGCTACTGAGTCAGTTCTGACCCATGGTGACCCTGTATAGGGTTCCCAAGGAGTTGCTGGTGAGCGTTCTTGAACCACTGACCTTGTGGTTCAAACAGACTTTGCAATCCAGCACATTAAACCACAGCACCACACCAGGACTCACCCATTAACCATTGTTGTTGTTGTTAAGTGCCATTGTCAAGTCGGTTCCGACCCACAGCGACCCTGTATAGGGTTTCCGAGGAGTGGTTGATAAGCTTGAACTGCCAACCTTGAGGTTCAAGCTGACTTTGCAGTCCAGTGCACTATCCCAAAGCACCACACCAGGACTCCTAAAGACAGCCTAAGTGCCCATTAATGGAAGAATGGATAAATAAACTTTGGTACATACACACAATGGAATATTATGCAATGCTGAAGAATAATGATGAATCTGTTCATCACGATGAATAATGTTCAATAATGATGAAAAGTGTTCATCCTCATAATATGGATGAACCGGGAGGATATTATGCTGAGTGAAATTAGTCAGTCACAAAAGGACAAATATTGTATGAGATCATAATTGTAAAAACTTAAGAAAAGGTTTCCATATTGAAACAGTCTTTGATGGTTACCAGGGGTGGATGGACAGGGAGAGTGATTAATTCACTGGCTAACGGGTAGATACATATTAACTTAGTAGACTGGAGGGCAATATACAAGAAGGGGGAGGGTGAGAGAATGATGAAGATAGGTGAAGACACAGGGAGACAAATAGAGATATATGAAAACCTTGGAACAACAGTGTTCTGTGGGTAGATACATGGATTCAGGATCAATGGGTAAGGAAGGAATAATAAGATATATTTATATATCCCACAAATATATAAGAATTTTAAAGAGCCTATTTGTATATGAGTATTTACCTTTCATGCAAACACAGCTATGAATGTGGTGGAGCATACAGCAAGCAAAAGGATGAAAATTTCCTAGATTTTATCAAGCATTTTAGGGCAATGAGTTAGTGGTCCTGGGGCATCAGGACCATAGTCTCAGGGGACACCATTGTCAATTGGCATAACATAGTCCACCGAGACAATGTTTTAAATCCTGCAAGGGTGAGTAGCTTCTGGGATTTTGAAAGTACATGAATGGCTGTCTAAGGTACAGGTATTCGTCTCTCCACAAACAGAAGAGTGATAAAAGCTGAAGAGGCTTGGAATCAATTAGGTCAATGGGTTAATGGAACACATGAGTCCATGACTCTGAGACCAAAAGAACTAGACAGGGCCCAGCTACCACTACCAACTGCCTTGAAAAGGATCATACTGGAGGAACCCAGATAGACTGGGAGGAAATGTGGAACAAGACTTAAAATTATTTTAGACTGGGTTTTACTGGTTAGAAAGAGACTGGAGGAACCTATGACTATGGACCTTGACCACCCTTCAGTCTGGAAAGGAACTCAACCTTGCAGTCCAATTTTCAGCCAAGCAGTAGCTGGGTTTATTGGAGGGGAGTGGGGGGCAACACTAGCAAGGTATGTTCACCAAGGAATGGTCAATCATTCAAAATCAAAAGGGCAACCAACATATGCCTAAGAACAAAGTTGAAAAGGAATGGGAAGGTGGGTTGAATGCAAATAGCAATTACAGGGAGGTAATGGAGGTCGGAATCCACTCAACGGCACTTAACAACAACAATGGAGCTCTGGTAGTGTAGAAGTTACAAATTGGGCTGCAAGTCTCAGGGTCAGCAGTTCGAAACTACCAGCTGTTCCGTGGGAGAAAGATGAGTCTTTCTACTCCAAGATTTACAGCATCGGAAACCCTGTCCAGGGTCGCTATGAGTTGGAACCGACTTCACGGCACATAACAACAACAACAACCTGGATAATGTAGCATGGAGAGGATTGTAATCAGAGACGAAAAAAAGTGTCTTGAGTTGTTGAGCAACGCTGATGATCTAGTCTGTAAACCCTCACTCAATTCACAAAAAGTTTTTTTAAATGTTGAATTTCCTGAATAATGGCAAATAAAATCTGAATTTGAGTTTATTATGTTTCTTTTAGAAGCAGAATAATAACGCAGGTTGTTTAATTACGGGGCATACAACCCATAGACAAGGTAATATGAGTCTAAGCCTCATCTTTCCTGCTCACACACTGTCCTTAGTGGATCTTCTTGAACCAGATTTACTCCAATCTGTACTGGATGGCTCCTTTCAATGCTTCGTCATCACTTTTTATTTGCTTAACCACATCAGCACAAGAGTCCAGGAAGCACATACCGTCTTTGGGTCTAAGACCTTCCCCACAAGGTAGCCACAACAGCTGAGGCTGAAAGCCTTGGAGCGGCTCTTGGTAGGGGTCGAAGCTGACAAGGAGAGTGGGCAGGGGTCCTGGCGAGTGGGGCGGGAAGGGCAGGCTGGGTGGGCGCGTCGCAATGTTTAACAGGAGTCACCAAAGAAAAATAAAGACCCCGAGAGAGGGGGAGTGAAACTCTGGGAGAAAAATTCTGGGGTCAAGGATTGTAAGGAAGAGCTAGTATTGCTCCGGAGGGAACATTCTGGGAGCCGAAGCAGAGCCTCCAGCAGAGCGGTGAGCCCAGACCCGGGTCGGTCCCAAACCCCCGTCCTCACCAATATCAGGGTTGCGAGCGCCAGCACCGCGAAGAGAACCACCAGCTGCAGCAAGAACGGTGCCATCCTCCATGCCAGATGCGCCTCCCGGCCTATTTCCACTACTCTATTCCGCTACAATACACACACGCGGAAGCGCGGCTTGGCCCGCCTCTCGCCTCCAGAGAGGTGTCGCCGGTCCCGGCCTATCCGCCCGCCTGTCACAGCGCCCCCGCGTGGCAACGCGATAAAGAAGCGCTGATCTGTGAGAAATCAGTCCGTGGAGCGACTCCTTAGGTGGGTATTTAAGTTTTTTTTTTTTTTTGGGGGGGGTAGTTAAGTTTTCACAGGTGAAGATATAGACGCCCACTTAAATTTAATTTTTAGATAAACTAATAAATTTTTGTGCAATATTTTGGGCAGACTCATGAAAATATTATCTGATATTCACGGGATGTATTTTAGGAGCTGTGGTGGTATATTGGGTTAAACACTGGGCTACTAACAGCAAGTTCAAATTTACCAGCATCTCGTGGGGAAAAGATGAGGCTACCTGCTTCTGTAAAAGTTTACAGTCTTGAAAACCCTGGGGAGCAGTTCCACTTTGTTGCTATGAGTTGGCATCAACTTGATAGCAGTGAGGTTGGTTTTCTGATTTTCGTGATACAATGTGTTAAGTGTTGGGCTGCTAACCTAAAGGTATACAGGAGGAAGTCATGACAATGTACTTCTGTAAAGATTTACAGTTTTGGAAACTCTCTAGGCAGTTCTGCTCTGTTCTATAGGGTTGCTGTGAGTCAGAATTGATGCTGTTTACTGCGAGTGTTCATTGCACCTCCACCATACAAGAAGGGCTTTTGCCTTCTCCTGATTAAGAAGTGTCAGGTGATGCTACGTTGCCATACAAGCAAAGGTTTATTACAGGAAAGAGGAGGGCTTAATAAAAAGTTTAATCTCAGTCTTCTGAACAAAGATTTTGCAGGTGTTTAAAAAGTTTTGGGTAGGGAAAGGCTTCATGTTTATTCATAGGGATACGCAGGGAGACCCATGCTAATTGGCTGTGTTCTCAACATTTCTTCAAGATGGATTCCACGGGGAAAGGCCTTTGGTAAGGGACCTGTTGCTGTTGTTACGTGCCATCGAGTCGGTGCTGACCCATAGCCACCCTATGCCCAACAGAACGAAACACTGCCTGGTCCTGTCCCATCCTCACCATTACTGCCAATCTTGAGCCCATTGTTCTGCCACTGTTCCAGCCCGTCTCTCCATCTCATTGGAGGGTCTCCCTCTTTTTTTGCTGACCCTCCACTTTAATAAAAGGTGCTCTGGTAGCATAGTGGTTACGTAGTGGGCTGTTTAACCTCAAGGTCAGCAGTTGGAAATTACCAGCTTCATGTCTCAGGTTGTTAACGAGTCTTCCTCCAATCCTGAAGCCACATTCTTCTACATATAGTCCAATTTCTCAGATTGTTTGCTCAGCATACAGATTGAATGAGGATGGTGAAAAAATACAATCCTGGCACATACCTTACCTGATTTTAAACCATTCAGTGTCCCCTTGTTCTGTGAATGACTGCCCCTTGGTCTATGTACAGGTTCCTCGTGAGCACAATTAAGTGTCCCAGAATACTCATTTTCCACAATATTGTCCATAACTTGTCATGATCCACACTGTCAAAAGTCTTTGCATAGTCAATAAAGTACAGGTAAAAATATTTCTGGTATTTTCTGCTTTCAACCAAGATCCATCTGATGTCAGCAATGATGGCCCTTATTCCATGTCCTCTTCTGAATGCTGTGTGACTCTCTGGCAGTTCCCTGGCAATGTACTGTTAAAGCCATTTATGAATTTATGTTTAGCAAAATTTTACTTCCATGTGATATTAATGATTTATTTTTCTGATGGTTTCCACATTCAGTTGGTTGGGGAAGACAATACTTATTCCAGGGTGTCCCTCATGTCTACCTCTGGGAGTGACTGGTGATTTCCTCTGCCCACAAGGAAAGGTCCTCCTTCTAGCTGGGTAAAACCAGTTAGCCTGTTGTTGTTAAGTGCCTTTGAGTCATTCTGACTCATAGAAACCGTGTATATGGTTTTTAAGGAGCTGCTATTGGGCCATAGGAGCTCTGGTAGCGTAGTGGTTATGAATCGGGCTGCAAACCTTAAGGTCAGTAGTTTGAAACTACCAGCTGTTCTGCGGAAGAAAAATGAGGCTTTCTGCTCCCGTAAAGATTTACAGCCTCGGAAACCCTGTACAGGGTCGCTATGGGTCGGAACCGACTTGACAGCACTTAACAACAACAACATTGGGCCATGGTTGGGAAATCCTTTTTCTGCTAAGGACTGTTTGGATATTTATAACATCACTTAATATAAATTTATGTTGCTATGAAAAAAGCTCCTGGTGGTGGTGTGCCGTGGAGTCACTTCCGACTCATAGCGACCCTATACAGGGTTTCCGAGGCTGTAAATCATTTCGTGAGCAGAAAGCCTCATCTTTCTCCCGCAGAACAGCTGGTAGTTTTGAACTGCTGACCTTGAGATTAGTAGCCCAATTCGTAACCACTACTCTACCACAGCTCCTTGAAAAAAAGCTCCTAGATTTATTGAATTTTGAGTCCTGCCTGTGGTTGTCTTGGCAGGGCCAGACCATATGATTTCATGGGCTCATATGGCCCATGGGTCCAACGTTCCCTACCCCTGGTTTAAACCTTGTAGTGAGCAGTCCAGTGATTATCCTACAGTAACACAACAGTTAGGCTGTAGTTGTTGTTAAGTGCTGTCAAGTCAGTTCTGACTCATAGCGACCCTATATACAGGAGCAGTTAGCTAGTGGGTTTGAACTGCTGACCTTTCAATTCACAGTCCGGTACTGATCCTATAACGCCACACCAGGAGTCCATGCTAGCCTGTACAAGGAAATAAATACAGAAATCCATGGTGGTCTGTTTACAGTAAGTGAATTTTAAAATAGGCAATGTCTTGTGATTCTGTCTTTCATCTTTCAAGAAACCCTCTAGGCTCCCTGTCTCAGGAAGGCTTGGAGTAGCAGATACTGCAGGCTGGGCCACAGAAAGGTCTTAGCTGGGTCCATCATAGCTGCTCTGATTTAGGGGTGGATGGCTGTGGAGCTACAGTTCTTAGAATCTTCCAACTCCGAGAATCTACTCAGTGAACATTTACTGAGTGCCTACGTTCTGCTCCTGTAAAGATTTACAGCCTCGGAAACCCTGTACAGGGTCGCTATGAGTCGGTTCCGACTCCACGGCACATAACCACCACCACTGTAGTGTAGCGGTTAGACCGGCTGCTAACCTCAAGGTCAGCAGTTTGAAACTACCAGTGTGGTTCCATGGGAGAAAGATGAGGCTTTCTGCTCCCATAAAGATTTATTACAGCCTTGGAAACCCTGTTGTTGGTGTTGTTAAGTGCCATCGAGTCGGTTTCGACCCATATCGACCCTGTACACCGAGGCTTTAAATCTTTCCTGGAGCAGAAAGCATCATCTTTCTCCCATGGAACGGCTGGTAGTTTCGAACTGCTGACCTTAAGGTTCGCAGCCCGATTTGTAACCACTACGCTACCAGAGCTCCTTGGAAACCCTATACAGTGTCGTTATGAGTCGGAACCTACTCCACAACACATCACCACCACCATCAGTGTGTATGTCCCCGGCACTAGGTCAGGCACTGAGTCTGGTCCTGGGGATACAACAGAGACCCAAAGAACCTGCCTGACCTTGAGGCAATCTTCCTTTCCTAGTAACTTTTTTTTTAAGAGGCTCCCTAGGCTCCCTGCCTTAATTCCACGCAAAGGGATTTTGTCCCGTATTTATCTAGGAGGGTGGTGGAGGCCTTGAGATGTAGTCTACAAAATACAAGCTTCTCCTTTGGAGTAATCTCTGGCTCTATAGAAAGTTTATTAATCTGATGGGGATAATGGTTGCACAGAAGATTCAGTAATTTCCTGGTGGTGGTGCAAGGAGCCCTTCACCTATGGAAGAGGCTAAGAGATGGAAAAGGACGCAGACATATTGGTATAATGCTCCACACTCAATATTTGTGTTGTGGTTTCATGCCCCTGCGTCATTTTGAAGCTTTGCCACCCTATATAGGCTTTCCCAGGGACATGTGCTGAGTTTGAATTGCGACCTTGAGGTCCAGGACTTCACACTCAATTTATGTTGTTATGTGCAATTGCTTCGGTTCCGACACATAGCGACCTGGTGTAGAGTTTCCGAGGAGCGGCTGGTGAGCTTGAACCGCTGCCGTGAGGTTCAAACCGACCTTGCAATCCAGCCCATTAATCTGCAGCGACAACTTCCTCTTAAACCTTCTGAACTAGCAGCATGTTTCCAAAGAGGGACACATCATCATTTCTCTATTAGGAGATTCGCCACATTACATCAAAGACGAGAAATACTACAGGGCCGTCACACTAGTGACCGTGGAACCACAGGCAGACCGAGGACAACTTCCGTCACATCCCAGTCTTCAGCTTCTCCCCAGGCGGGAGATGGGTGTGGTGCCGTGTGGAAAGTGCTAGGACTGACCGCGCTACCACGTGCGCTCGGGCTAAGATGGCGGCTGGGTTCAAGTAAGTGCCCGTGGCTGGCGGGCGGGAGTTTTGTGTTCTAAGGGATGGCTTGGGTGTTGGCACCCTTTAATGTTTGAGCTAAGATCCTCTCACCTGGAGGTCGTTCTTGTCTGGGCCTCACACCTTCCCCGGCCGAATTTAACGACCTAAGTGGTTGCGTTGAAGGCACGGGAGATGGGACGGACTTTGTTCGCAGGGTTTTGAACCCCCTGCGAACGCCTGTGAGTTTCATCTGAATCGCTAGCCGCCAGGTTCACTTACCATTCTAAAAGGTTTGTTCCTGGTACGTACGGTTTTAGTTAAGCCTTTTTTGTGCTGATCTGGTGAAGTCTGAATGTCTGAGAGCATTGCTTTTTAAATAAATAGGACACCAAAGAAAATCAATTCTATTGAAATATGTTTGTGTATTTCTTGATGTAATAATATGTGTATTTGAATTTTCTTGAAACAAGATGTAGTAGCAAATCTAATAACTACTGGAATTTCAAAGTAATGATGAGCCTAAAGATACCTTCAACAACTAAAACGGAAAAGGAAAATATCTAGGTGTTTTTGTTAATATTTATAGGTGACCAAACTGACTCCATGGCACATAACCACCACCACCACCACCACCTATAACTATAAAAAAATAAAGCTCAATACATCAGCATTGATCGTTCATCCTTAAGCAATTATAGGATCCCTGGTATGGTCCTATAGGATAAACAATGAACTGCTGCTAACCTCAGGGTCGGCAGTTCAAACCCACCAGTCACTGCTTGGAAATCCTATAAGGGTTGCTTTGAGTGGAACCCACTGACCGAAACTTATTAACAAACAACATGGTGTTATACATAAGAATTGATAAAGGAAATTTAGTTATCATTTTTGAAGATTAGCTGAATTACCAGACTCTTAAGATCCTTGCCAGGTTTTGGATTGATGTTAAGATTCCGTAATTTGTATGATAGTTTTATCTCGTGCTTTTCAGAACTGTGGAGCCTCTGGAGTACTACAGAAGATTTTTGGTCAGTAACATTAATGTCTTTTAATAGCAGTATTATATGTTTACTTTAAGAACACATTTCAAATCAAATTAATTCATTTGGATTTAAACTTATTTTGCATTGACATGGTTTAATGTGTTTTACTTTACTTTGTACAAAATTTACATGGATATATTGTAACATAAGGAGTCCTGGTGTGGCGCTGTAGGACTGCACGGTAGAGCTGAACCACCAGGTTGGCAGTTCATACTCACCGGCCACTCCTCATAAACCCTATACAGGGTTGCCATGGGTTGCAGCCAACTCCCAGGCACTCAACAATAACAATATTGTAATATATATTTTCTTTTAATTAAACATATTTATTTAGAAAGAGAACTGCCGTCCTGATGGAAGAGAACTTGGTGAATTCAGAACCACCACTGTCAACATAGGTGAGGATATTTTGAGTTCTAAAATAGGATGTTGAAGTTACTATGATCAGTTTTTAAAATAGTATTTTTCTTAGTTTTGAATACTTGTTGAATTCTAAAATAGGATGTTGAAGTTACTATGATACTTTGTTGTTTTTTAGTACTTTGTTGTTTTTCAGTACTTTCTTGTTTTTCAATACCTTTAAGTCGGTTGTATAATGTTTCCAAGGCTATAAATTTTGCAGGAGCAGAAGGCCTGTCTTTCCCCCCTGAAGTGGCTGGTAGGCTGGAACCAACAACTTTGTGGTTTGCAGTCTATTGCTTATCCTACAAATTCACTGTGCTCCCTATGAATATTTTTATACTAGTAGAGATTTTTATTTGTAAATCTTTCTTTTTTTAACCTGGTGGTGGTGGTTATGTGCTGTGGAGTTGGTTCTGACTCATAGCAACCGTATATGGGATTTCTGAGACTGTAAATCTTTACAGGAGCAGAAAGCCTCAGCTTTCTCCTGCGGAACTGTTGGTAGTTTCAAACTGCTGACCTTGAGATTAGCAGCCCGACTCATAACCACTCCGCTAATGTAGTACTCTGTTAGTTGATAAATACTTCATTTATATTTCAAAGTAACTGCAAAGAGTTTTTTCTCCCTTCCTTCAAAACCACAAATGTGTGGGTTTCTTATGTGTCTAATACATTTTTAGGAATTTTGTGGCTCTGTAAGATAAGCACTGGACTAGTGGTGCTGTGAGTTAATGCACTGGATTGAAGGTTGGTTTGAACCGCAAGATCGGTGGTTCAAGCTCAGCAGCCAGTCTTTGAAAACCCTATATGGGCTCACTATGAGTTGGAACCAACTCGACGGCCTAACTGCAAGGTTGGTAATTAAAACCCACCAGCCACTCCTCAGAAACCTTATACAGGGTTGTTACAAGACAGAACTGACTCAATAGCACTTAACAACAATACTTATTAAATCCTCTTATTGCAAATAGGGAATTTTCCAATTTCAAATGAATGGTAATTCCAAATTCTAGGCTTATGAACCATTTAAATATATTTCAGCCAAATCCTACATGCTAGCTACCATTTTTAAATCAATGATGCCTGAGTCTAGAGATAAATTTCCATAAGCAACTGAGACTGTAGAAATCTGAAGTTAACATTTAATTTTAGTTATTATATAGATAATTGTATAGCTATATTTTGTTTTTTAATGAGCTTTGTCATTTTACCTAAATACTTGTCTTTTCAGGTTCAATTACTACTGCAGATGGTTCTGCTTTAGTGAAGCTGGGAAATACGACTGTAATTTGTGGAATAAAAGCGGTATGATTAATTTTTATCATTGATACGAACTACCAAAGTAACTCCATATATTTATCATATATACTTAATAATTTTACTCTTGATTAGGTAGCTAATTGTCAGTTGTTCAGTATTTTCATTTCTGAAGAGCTTATTGGTATTAGATAATACAGCCCAAATTTAATGACTCTTAGTGTGGCGTTGTAAGGAGTTCTGGTAGCGTAGTGGTTACGAATCGGGCTGCGAACCTTAAGGTCAGCGGTTTGAAACTACCAGCCGCTCCGCGGGAGAAAGATGAGGCTTTCTACTCCCGTAAGGATTTACACCCTCGGAAACCCTGTACAGGGTCGCTATGGGTCGGACCCGACTCGACGGTACTTAACAACAACAACAACAACAGTGTGGCGTTGTGGGCTAATGCATCAGACTGCAAAGGCATTTGAACTGCAAGGTCGGTGGTTCAAGCTCACCAGCTGCTCCTCGGAAACCCTATACAAAGTTGCTATAGGTCGGAATCCGCTCGACGGCACTTAACTAAAACAACATAAGTAATTTATGAACATTTGTCAAATGTATCAAAATAAAAGTTTTAATTTTACCACTCTGTTTTTGGAAATTGATTGCAAATTAAGCGAGATTTGGGGCACTATTGTTTTAGCTACTGATGGCATTTAATTTGTGTGAAATGTGTAGTGCTTTGAGTCTGTTAAGAGGAAAGTTTAAGAAAATAATAGCTATCATTAACTGGGTACCTGCTGTATTTCAGACTATCCACTAGTTATTTTACAGATTTACTCAGTTTAGTCCTCAGAACAATCACTATCACTTGAGGTATATTTTTTTTCTCTCCCCTTTGTGATGAGATTCAGTAACTTGTCCAGGTACACAGGCTCATAAAAATAAACATAAGTCTGTCTCATAAAAGCACATAAAAAAGCCTGTGCTTTTAACTATACTACATTGGGTTATTTAATGTAAGTTCAAAGTCCTCCTCAGTAAAACTGGGTGATAACTAACATTAAGATTTGAACATTTATTTCTTATCTGGTTTTGTGTAAGGTGCTTAGTTAGAGGTACATGCTCTCATTTGACCCTCATAATGGTCCCTTGGAGTAGGCACTGTTCTTCCCATTTTTACAGATGAAGAAGTTAGAGGTTAAATAACTTGCCCAAGGTCTTTCAGCTTTTGCTGCCATTGAATTGATTCTGACTGATAGCACCCCAGTAGGCAGAGTAGAACTGCTCCATTGGATTTCCAAGTTTGTAAACCTTTATGGAAGCTTATTGCCTCTTCTTTCTCCCGCTTAATGGCTGGTGAGTTCAAACAGCTGACTTTTCCTTCAGTAGCCCAACACGTAACCCATAGCATCAACCAGGGCTCTTTGATTATTACATCCCCACCCACTTCCACTGAGTCAATTCTGACTCATCGCAACTCTATATAGGGATTCCGTAGCTGTAAAACTTTATAGGCACAGAAAGCTTCATCTTTATCCCTTGGAATATCTGGTAGGTTTGAACTGCCAGCCTTTTAGTTAACAGTCCAGTCCTTATCCTATAGTGCCGCCAGGTTTCCTTTATTATTCCCAACCCAAAACCCACTGCCCTAGAGTGGATTCCAACTCACAGTGACACTGTCTAGGGTTTCCAAGCCTGTAAATCCTTATGGGAGCAGAAACCTTCATCTTTCTCTTACAGAGTCACAGGTGGGTTTGAACTGCCCATCTTATGGTTAACAATCCAGTGCTTCTCCTACAGTGCTAACAAGGCACCTTATTATACCAACACTTCCTAAATCTGTTTGTGTCAGTGTCACCTGGGGATTAAATTCATATTCTTTCTAAATTAGTAGAAAAGGGTGGGGCAGACATCCAATTAGAAAAATTTAAAAAGATTTAAAATTAAGTATTTTAATGAACAACAAACACTGTAGCGTAGTCTACTATATTATACTGCTTTCTTACCGTGTAGTACTATTGTTAGGAGTTGAGTCTATGTGTTTTAAGCCCTGGGCTTAATTCCAGGCATAAAAGATACTGATGATTTAGTTAACTAGCTAGATGATGGTCTTTGGTAGTACCTTCTATATCTGATAGCTAAACTGTAGTTGTAATGGTTTTTAGCTGCTTTCAATAGGAAGCATTTGTTTTTATAGGAATTTGCAGCTCCACCAACAGATTCCCCTGATAAAGGATATGTAGGTAAGTTAAATGATTTTTTAAATTTTAATACAAATACCTTAACACATTTAATACTTATGTAGTCAAGTCCTAGCATTTAAGTGTTAGAGTTGAAGAGAATTATTTCAACTAAGATTTAGGAATATATGACAATACAGCTGACATTCCTGAAGCTTTTCTGTACCTGTGTTAGCAGAAACTGCTTAAAGCAAAAGAAAGAATTTTCTAAATTTAACTTTTATCAAACTTATTACCTATGGAGTAAAGAAGCAACATTTCATTTGTAGGGTAGCTATATTGGATGTATATTTTAATATACTATTAATTTTGTTTTACTGAAACATTGGTTTTCATTCATCAATTTTTTTTCCCAGGCACAAGCGTTTTATTTTACTTTATTTTTACGTTTTTATTGTGAATTGAGTGATAGTTTACATGGGAGAACATCGGCTTAATACTCATTGTATCATATTTCGTTGCATTGCAATGATTACAATCCCCTCCATGCATCATCAGTCAACAATATTTGCTTCTATTCCCTCTGTTTTTGTTTTTTAATGTTTTATTGTGAATCATATCATAGTCTACATGGGAGAACTTCAGTTCCGCATTCATTCCACTGT